TAAATGCGACACTCCTAGTTCAAGCAGACTATTTTAATCCGCGTTTCACAGATGTGTAATCTAACATGAAGTTTGTGGTAGACTTCATCAGGTTTTTTTTTTGCAAATGATATTCCTTTAAACCCTCTGTTTTTTTGTTGTTTTTTAATCAACCTTACCCATTGTGAATTGAGCCTGTTGTAGTTGTGGTTTGCACAGAGATGATGATTAATATCATAATAAAATCCTAACATGTCTCAATAAATTAATTTATGGCCTACTTTGCATCAACAACAAAAAAAAATTTAAATGCACAAATTCTTATTTTATGGCGTAATTTTAACTCATGTTGGTTGTTGTTGTTGTTCTTTACATAAAACATGTAATCCAATAATAAAAGAATGGAAAATTATGTTTGATCCTACAGAAAAAATGCTTTCTCTGAGCCAGCCAGGTTTCGATCATACATGCACAGGAATGCTAATATAAAGTAAGCAGAAGGTCAAATGTGAAGTTTTGTCCTTGTTGGCAATTCAGACCTAAACCTGAACCAATGTTGGCCTTGCAGCTTATTTTTGCTTTGCCTCTTCCCCACCTCCCTCTTTCTTTTTACATTGCTGTTTCAGTTGCACATTCCTGTGTTTTTTTCAAATAATATGAATTCATTAATGTTTAATGTTTTACTATTTGGTACTGCATATTAGTGATCTTGGCTGTCATTTCACCACTTTGGTCCAAATTGAACTACAGACAATATTCGGATTGATTTTCATGAAATATTTAAAGTCCCCTTAGGCCTCAAACTGGCATAGAACACAAGGATCTGGCTTGTTGAAAACATCCTTTAAAAAAAGCATTGCTAAGTCCTCACCAAGGACCATAACTGGGATAATTTCATTCATGCGGCGATGAGTCATCCCGTTGTTCTATTGTTCGCCCAGTCTCTCTTTCCTCCCCTACCATTTTGCAGTTTTATCATACTTGCACACTTAATGTGTTTTAGATCCTCTCCCTACTGAAATAAATACAAAATATTAAAACTATTGTAGCAACGATCATTTACCCGTTGCCTTCACACTGTGTCATCTTGTTTAGATTCTTCTTTAGTCAATTAAGGCTATTTCATCTTCTGCTCTCACAAAGCTGTTATCCTTAATTTGTATTATTAATACACATAACTTTCCCACTGTATTTTTTCCTTTTCTTTGTAAAAATGTGTGACATTATCTTTTGATTCACTGAGCACTGACACTGTTCTGACAAGCAATGCCATCGACGAGTGCAGCGGGGAAGCAAGAGGTATTTTGTCTTAATGAGCTGCCATACAGTCTGAGTTCCCCTCCACCGATATGAGAGTAACCTCTCATCTCCTGAAATATCATGAGACTAACTACTTTGTGTCTTCTACAATCTGTCTTTACACTATCTGTTTTTGATGTTCTCTTTTACAAATCAGGTTACAATTCTTTTTTATATTCATTCAGTTGAATATACCACGCAATAACTATAGCATCTCAACTATTGCACATTTTCACAACTGAGTTTATCCATTTGCAGATACACCTATCCACAAAACACCTGAATACCTCTGTGACCAGTTAGTGTCCAACCTGTCTGAAAGCAGCCTTATGCAAGAAGTGACCTTGTCTCTTTCGGCCTACATTACGAGGAGTATGCCATGGAGAGGGTCCACTAATGCACTCTAATCCTCCAACACAATGACCCCAATCCCTTAAATCTGTCAATAGGGAAGCTGATGCTCCAGATTAGAGATGCTGCTGTAATGATACTGTGGGGCTCTACTCCTATCTTGTTGTTTGCAAGACAAACACACGATATGATTTGCATACTTCATTATATGCAAAGTATTCCCTACTGCTATGTTTTTCAACCTGTATTGAAGTATTTTTTTATTCAAACAATAATAAAGAATGTGTCTTGTTTGGTATGTTCAACTGACTTAAAACCTTGTGTCAGTAGCCTCTGAATTTCTATCCACCAGAGCCTTGCCTCGCTCATCACTGAAACAAATCAGAATATCAGACAAGCAGTCAGTGCCTCCATATCAGTTACAGGAAATGTGTGGTCCCCATGTCCGAATAAAATTAACTCAAATAGCATGGCACAATTCCATCCAATCAAACATGAATAGGACATGACTTTATACAACATCTGAAACGCTGCCAACAGGCTGTTAAATAATGCTTAATATTGCATGCAATTAGAACTTCAACAAATTGTAAACATTCTGTCAGCTGTTTTCTCACAGGCTCTGAACACTGCAGGCATCAAGTCTTTCTAAATAAAGAACAATCTCGACATATAACTAATGAAGTATAATTTGCCTTTACAGAACCTCCCATTTTGCACAATCAATTAAAATAGCAATTTTTTTCCAAAAGCTGAATAACTTGGCACTTAGCAATGTCATTTCGACCACACCGACCTCAGCATTTAGACTTGTTAAAGTCTTTAATGACATCCATTTAAACACTGATGCTGGCAGAATTTCAGTTCAGTTATATTCCAGGTCCTATTCTGTTAAACATCTACATGCTTCCTCCGGCTCATTCATTATAATTATGGAAAGCAACCTCAATATGTCACCACATCTATGCTGAACACACACATGTATGTAATCATATCAACAGGGGACTATGGTGCTATATCACACGCACCGAGAATCGTTTGAATGTTGTTCAGTTTACATATGGAAGACCAAGGGATGAATCTGAGTTATAAAGATTGTCTTTGAAATAAAAAAGCAACAGAAGTTCATTTAAAGCACATATTGTGTTCCTCTCGTTGTAATATCTGTGTTGCTTTTACATGTAAATGTCTAAACTTTTGAGTTTTGAATTCTTCATCTTGTATGATACAGCTGGTCAAATCAAAGATGCCGGGCCATGATGCAATGCAGAGACAGCTTTGAATCAATGCTTATCTCAAAGGCGAGTTTGTTTACTTTTCCTACCGCTGCTGGACAGATAAATCGACTGGAAAGCAAAGAGAGTTTATACACATACAAAGAGGCTGGGCCTGTAGGTAGAGCATTTGGGAGAAAGTTATTAAAATTGCTTTTTATCAACACTTTAAATCCACCCGATGCTGTTGTGCAGCAGGGAGAGACGAGGTTTGCTGTCATATCCACAACTGCCAATTCCTGAGGTGCAGGGCATCAGATTATTCTTAAAGCTGGGGACGCTGTTTATGCTTCACAGCTCAGAGAATGTAATTTTGAGAAGTGTAGCAGTGCACCTCTGAGACACAGGAGGGGGGATGGAGAAAAAAGAGACAAATGAGCCATGAGTTATCATGTGAAGCCTCCACCATTGATAAAATACCTGTAAATCTTTGGGGACACTGTCACAATACACACAAAAAGTCATTTTTCTCTTTCCCATCTTTCGCTCTCTGTGTAACTGTTTTTTTGTTTTACAGCAAAGAATCCCAATATTGGCAGGCACATCAAATACATCAAATTCCCTGAATGACATCAGACATAAGTCACGTTCAATGGTGATTAAAAATAATCAAATCCCACTGATTCATAGCAGAGCTTTAGCCTATAATCCAAACCATTCACTGTGCTTTTCCATGAATGATACTTTACTATGTTTAAAGCTTTATGAACAACAATCGTAGGTCATTTCAATCAGGAGGGACTTCATTTTGTTTAAAGAACATTTATTGACACATGTCATATGATAAATGTTAAGTCTTCGGGGATTAGACCCCAATCCTGAAATTGTATCTAAAGGGGAAATGCAGCCGTGAGCCTATAGGGAAACCCCCAGGGGTCTAGACACTGGCGATGATGCGGAGGATCTGGATTTGATGAGGAGATGGGATGAAGAGGGGATGTGATGAGGTCTTTGGATTAACTCTCCTGGCACTGCGTATGATGAAAGGAGGTGGATGGGGACGAGGCGGACGGCAGCATGAAAACCTGAAATCACAGCTGACTGCAGGAGAGAGGAGAACCATTTTAAAGTTTGGCTGCAGCACAGTGATTGGCTGCTGGAGAATGAGGTGAATGGAATAGGTTATAGACAGCGCCCGTGATGTGCTGATTATATGCAGCTGCGGAGTGAATGTATATACCCAGTCTTCCTGAAAGAACTTGCGCTGAGCTTCATTTAATTTCAACTATAACCGTTTGTTCTTTATTGATAGGGTCTATAGGATCACATCACATTTTGGTTTAAAAATAAGAGGATGTTACATTTGGAAAAAGGCATCGTCATTTGCATTTACACATGAAAAATGTTACAGTTGCATATTGCTCTGTGTCGAGACTGAGAGACAAAGATTAGACATTTTTACAAATTGTAGAAGCAGCCCCCAGGAGAAACTTAAAACCAAAAGTAAGTTTGTTAAAAGAATTCAGAAACTATGTCCACTTTAAACTCTGTATTTGCATAGGTTGCATTAGATTTAAATAAATATCCAGTGAAGACTCCCGTGCATATTTCTCAAAATAACTTGACAAACGTTGCATTCTCTGACAAATTGCACAAACTCTTCAGGTATTCCCCTGAGGAATCTAAAAATGTTTTTACAAAGGCTGGAAAATAATAGAATTGCAAGAAATAATCCCTCCCGTACTGCATTCACCCGAACAAGTTGCAATATCTGGAGCTGTTTCTATAGCAGCAACATAATTATACAAAAGTATTAGGAGATGAAAATGCATTTGTTATGAGTTACAAAAGTAAAAATAAGAAATAGTATAGATATATTTATATTTACAACATCAGATTTGCAGAGTGCATCCTTTTCAAATACAAGAATATTGCAATTTCTTCATGGGGTCACAATTGCACAATGTATTAAGAGGCTTTCCATCAGCATGTAGTTTCATATAAAAAGTCCTTTATCTAATCTCAATAAATACATCCTATAAAGGGACTTATCTTTTATCAAAACAAGAGCCAGCTTCTTTTACAACAGGACTTGCTGTGTATGAATACTATTATTTTCTTCTTGTTTTTCACTCACATAACAATACCCCAATAAACTCACTTGGGCTCTCCTATAGGTTTGACCACAGGCCACGGCATGTCAGGTAGAGGTGACTGTGGCTCAGCGTGGGCCTGCTGTAGCTGTAGGGCCTGCTGGTTAGCCCAGTTCAAGTCCACCCCATTCTTCTTCAGTGCAGCCAAGTGCTTGACGTCCAGCGTTGTGAAGGTGGTGAACTGGACCTGGTTCCTCTTACTGGTGGGGGAATGAAGTGGCTCGCTTCGGTGTGGCCTGGCCAACAAGGTGGCAGAACGGTTCGCCATGGGGTCAATTGCAATTCCCGGAAAATGCTGCTGTTGGGAGGTGTTCCTGCTGCGGCCCAGAGTGGCAGTTCTTTCGGGGACAGGGGGGCCGCTCACTGTGGGCAGGGCGACCTCAGGGCTGTGGGGGCCGATGGAATCTACGGAGTGACGAGACTCCAGAGAGCGGTGAGCCTCGCGTTTTAGTGTGGACACTTGAGCCTGGATACCTGGAGCGGGGTGGCCATCGTTGCCCAGCCACACCCAGTCGTGCTTGTGATCCTTTGGGTCCCCTATGGGTGCCGGTGCTGCCTTCATTGCGGTCTTTTTATTCCGGAAACAAAGGTTATACGAAAGACAGTTGACCAAAAAGGCCAAAATAGCTACACAGGCCAGACCCACCAAGGCATACATGCCGATTTCAATCTGCGACAAGGCTCTGAATGTCCTAATGAGGTCACTCTCAATAACCTTCGGAGTTTTCTTCTTTGGCGTCACTTCTGCTTTGCGGATGTCTTTGTTGGGGGTTGAATTGGGGTTGTCAATCATGTTTCCAAAGCTTCTTTTCTGCTCTTCACCTTTACTTACTAACCCCACTGTTGTATATAGGGGTATGGCAGTGCTCAGCAGTGTATTGAAACTCATTGTGCTGGTATTTGTAGTCGCCGTTGTTGTGGGAATAGCAGTGGTTGTGGTACCTCTTGTAGCTCTGGTTGTGTTTCTAACTCTAAAGGCAGGCCGCACAATAGCTCTTGTTGAAACTGTGGTTGAGGTGGTGGGTTCTGCTGTGGTGGTCTCTTTCTGGGCAGGGGGTGTGCTTCTGTATAACCAGTTATCCACGTCGGCGACCACACGCTTGGTTGTTTTGGGATCACCTACCAATTCTAATGCACCGCCATCAAGATCTGTCAATCTGTCATTGCCACCACCTTCTCCTCCTGACACTCTGCTGCTACTCTGGAGGTTGATCCTGAGTAGACCGGTGCCCACCGCCAACTTGCCCTTCCTTTTGGACTTCTGGCATTCCTCGCAGATCCTCAGCTCCACTCTCACTAGCGCCCCCTGGCTTTTCCCTTCACCTTGCATTACTATGAATGTGGACTGCTGGGTTCGGCGCACCGTGGCAACCTTCTCATCTGGGGTGGAGACAGTCAGCGAGTAGATACTGCGGTCAAAAAGCTCCAGTGGTGTCACTGCGCCATCGCTGAACTGAACCCAACAGCTAACCACTGCTTCCTGAGAAAGAAAAAAAGAAAAATGATTATGATAACTGAGCAATACAGTTCATATGTACAAAAGCAGGTCAACAAATCAATATTCTCCTCTCTGCTTTCCGTGAGTGCTATATTCACATGATTGTTAATAGCACTAAATTGCTTATGCTAATTTCTTTATGATTACACTCAGTAGGGTGCTATTGTTCCATAGATTATAGTCTAATGAAGTCAGAGTACGGCATACAATTAACCAAAGTGGTTGTAATGAAAGCAATTTTAACAAGAACAAAAATTACAGCAAAAGGGGTCGTGTTAAGAGCCGATCCAATCACATGAATACACAATGACCTATTTCCTGTGGCTGATGTGAAACACTGCGGTACCACAGACCTAACCTATATTTTGGGTTTGAGTACATAATGAATCACCCTGAGCAAAGCATTAACAGGTTGCCACCACAGACACAATTGGTTGGTCATCTGTACTGGCATGGTTCCAACAGTTTGTTATTGACAGGGGCCGACCAGCCACAGCAACAGCGCGCTGTAGGTAAATTGAGCTGTCGCTACAACAGATATGGAACCGCTAATTGCTGCCCCGTGCCTGTGTCGGGAGGCTGGTTTGATGTGGGCAGGATGCCATGGCTAAATGTGCGAGTGAGCTTTTTAAATGATCATCTGTGCACCCTGTCTGCCTCTTCCGCTCTCTCACACAGCATGGTTACTGCAGATGGTGGTCTCAATGAGTTCACATTCTGAGAGGCAGAGAGAAAACACAAATATTATTACACCCTTAAGGTGATTGTTTTTGTGCAAATCTGTTCTGCCGTGGCAATTTATATAATTCAAATCTTATCTGTAGGAGCCCATTATGTCTTTGGTGGAAAATATATATTTAGGATACGTTAATACCACACTATTTACCATAGAAAGTGTGATTTTAAGCCGCCCCTGACAGGGTTTAGAATGAAGTTGTTTTGAATGATATTGTTTGTGGTCTGCAGCAATATCCTCACTGGAGAACACTTAAATAAATGTGAAATAGTGTGGTTTCCACTGAAAATAGGACTTTTTTTTATCAGATTGTGGTCCTTCAAATGTGGGTTTAAAGCATTTGAAAAACATTTTCTGATGCTGCAGTGCTTTCACAATTAAATGACACAATATATCTAACAATGCTGATAAGTGCCACATCCCACCTACAGATTGTTCGATTTTCCAATGTTTAGGGGGTACCAAACTGAATAACACTATCTGTTCAGATCAAAATCTCAGACATTTTTATTTCTTACCTGTTAAACTCACACAAAATGTTTCCATCGTGCAAAACAAAGTGGCTTTTGAGAACTTTAAAAGTGCATATGACCAATTTAGCATTGATCTCCCTTAAATCAGTGCAGCAGAAACAAAGAAGTTTATCCCAAACATTATTTTCTTTTTTTGTGCCTATTTATCAAGCTTGATTTGTTTTTGTGCATGCATCAGCCTTAGAGATGACTGCTTTCTCTTGAATATCATTTCTAAATCAATGCCACTAGACACAATGGGAACGTGGGGCTCAATGCGCCAACAATGTTTTAAAGGGGCCTTATTATGCTTTTTGTGAGTTCCCTTTCCTATAGTGTGTTATATGTTTTTTTCTGCATGTAAAAGCTTGGGTTTCTCTCCCACACCGTTTGTTTTCCACTGTTGCAGTTCCTCTTTGATTGATAAATAGCACTAACTGTTAGAGCAGGGGTGCCCACACTTTTTCAGCTTGGGAGATACTTTTAAAATGACCAAGTCAAAATGATCTACCTAGGTTAAAAATGCTAAACATATATTTATTTATATATATACTGAGTATACCTTATGTTGGTGTACCTTGCATAACTGCATGAACCCGTATGGCACAATACAACTCAGTACCTTTTTGGTCATTACGTCAATTTTATACCCTTTCTTTAGTAGAATTGTATAAATTGGAAGGCTAACTAGGTCATCAGCTCGCCGGTGATTTGCAGCTGGCGCGGTTGACCGTGCATGCGTGGTGAACTGCTTGTTAGAAAAGGTGAGATCTCAGACTGGCTTACCTGTAGGTCAATCAAGTGGCAAATGCCATAGTAAGGATGGATGATAGGCTAACTTTTTTTTCCTTTTTTTACAATGCCATGCGATCTACCCACACTACCTTTGCGATCGAGGTATACACAGGTATACACAGGTACTCTAACACAGGTACCCCTGTGTTACTCTAACACAGGTACACCTGTGTTAGAGGATGTTAGAGGATGAAAATTATCATCACCCTCGTTTCATGTCAAGTTTCAAGTCAGGACTCCTTTGTGGACCCTACCAGGATAAGTGTCTTTTAAATAATCTATTACTTCAACAGATATCGGTACTACATCAATTGCCGATATGAGATAACAAAATGTACCTGTATAAGTCATAATGCATCTTCTATCCTTTACATTTCTATTCACAACTTTTGATTCCTCCCATGATACGATCACTTTCTAGGAAACACTTTACCCTGATGTATCAAATTAAATGTTGCACTCAACAGCTCAGTCCCCACAGATGTCTTGCTAATCACTTTATGTAGTTGTAGTTCAATTACTGCTGCCTAAATAAAGTGTGATGCAAGCAAGTTGTCTCCCTGCTGGTCACAGCTACTGCTATACATTCTGAACAGGCATACAACCAAGTAGATTTGTGGTCAAATCTAATTAAATCAATGTATCAATTAATCAGTTAATCACAGTTAACTACACCTACAAGTTTTACATGCGATATAATAGAGCATCAAAACGAACAAAAGTTTCCCAATCTGTTCACAGTGCAAGGACATGTTAGTCTTTAAACGCAAGTCTGTGAGGATTCATGCTGTTCCTTATTGCACATGCATCTGTGAGTGATTCTACGCTGGTAATAAAAGGAGAACATTGTCATTGGAATGAATGCCAGGGGCCTTGCTCGTTAAATGCCCACACTTTAAAAGAACAAGAAAAAAGGGATGTTTTAAGACTTGCACACATTGGCAAAAGCAGAGCTGCAATGTTAGCAGCTCACTGCCAAAGAGGGAAATAGCTTACTTGTTGCAAAGCCAATAAATAATTACATGTTGAGAGTAAATGCAGACAAAAACACATTACGGGCTCTCACCTTTGATATTTAATCGCAGCCTATAGCAATCTGAATTCTGCATGTGTTTTTCTGCTCTTATGTAAGCCCTCTGATGAAACCTTGTCTACGGGGGAGACACTTACAGTTTCAAAAGATGTGAGTTACAAAGGAGAGTGAGTGATTAAAAGAACGTGGGCATCGTTCAGTGTACTTTCCGTTCAAGACAAATGAGGTCTCATATATTTTTAAATACATTTTACAGCGTGTTACCATCCTTATTTTTTTCTCATTTTGTAAAAGAAAAAGTGTTGTTCTGTGTCACATGGAAATCTATAAATCAATTATTTTCTGTTTTATAATCTGAATAAAACAAAATAAACTGTTGACTCATAATTATAAAGAAAACACTTTTTTATTCTCTCAGTCTTTTAGTTTATTTCCCGCACTTTTAGATTTTCACACTCAAGGTCTAAAACAAGAATCTGTAAAACTAATAGCAATAAAAAGAGAGAAGCAGAATCGAGAGAAGCTAAACGAATCCAAACCCTTTCTATGCTTTCAGTGTTATAATTTTCCAGTTTCTTACCTGTTCGAGCTGCGTGATCGTCTCCCGTTTGGTTGCCATGGCGACGATGGCCCCATTGCTCCCTGGGCTGAGCTGCAGGGACAGCGAGAGTCCAGAAACCAACTGCACCCCCAACTCCGTCACACTCACTTTATCGTCCACCACACTGATGCTCCTCTCAGCCAGCACGGACCAGGTCAGAGGGGACAGCACCTGCAACGAGGAAAACCTCATGCAACTTTCAGATGGAAGCACAACAGCATGCCCAGCACCTGCTAAAACCCGTCTGACATACACACATACACAAACACACAAACACACACGCAATGGCTTACCTGAACAGTAGTAGTGCCCACAGCCCGTCCCTGGACGACCACCCCATCCTGCACCCTGGCTACTTCAGGATCTGACACTTTTAGAAATGAGCGCACAATATTGGTCACATCCACCTAAAAACAGAGAAAATGTTGATTGTATTAAATCCTTATAAAGCTACTGCAATAATGTGATGATTACTATTGTTTCAACTTTTGGAAAAATGCAATTTATTTATAAATGTACTCAAGAACTGAACTTAAGTTGAGTTTTAAGATACTTTAAAAGAGTATTCCATTTTCCGTTACTGAATTCTTAAACTCCACAACATCTCAGAGGTTTTACTTTTTACTCCATCACATTTTTATGAAAAACGTTCCTTACCAGACTCAGAGTAATGATCATTTTAAATATTGTAATATTTTACTGCACATTAAGAAGACTTTATTGATTCACAATATATTTAATGGGCAAAATACCCACAATAGATCATATTGACGCAATACAAACATTAGTGCATCAATAATCAAAATTCAATAAAACAAGATATTCTGTATAATTACTTCATTGAGTTACTTTAAGTATAATCTAATGTTAATACTTATACTCCTAGTAATTGATATACAAATATGAATGTATATACTTTTTTACCTGCCAATCAGGACCCATGAAGTACTCCACAGGCTCCGCCCCCGTTAGCGGGTCAGACGGCGCCTCAGCGTCAGCCTGGGCTATAAAAGGTGTTAGCACCGTGAGCTTAGAGTGCTGGTACTGCAGCATGCAACCCCTGCCCTTCCTCACGTCCTCTTCTTCCTCGCTGTCCCATGTCGACCTGACACACAAAGGGGAATCAGACACAATTAGTCGTCGACTTTATTTCTAAAATATTTGTTAAGAAAACTTTAGTCCTGTTTCCAAAAGTTAGAAGATAAGATCTGAATTATGTTCAGATCTGTGTTGTAAATACGAAGGCATCAAGAGCAGTTATCTTAGCTTAGCATAAAGACTGCAAGAAGAGGGCGACATAATAACAGGTCATTAGCTACAGTCAGAATAAAGCTCACAAATGTAAATGTTATATATCCTTTTCAAATAAAGCAACAAAAGAAAGGTAAAAACAGCAAGATGTGGTTTTAAAAGGGATTTTCCAGAATGGCTATCTCCTCTGTCTTTATGCTAAGCTAATCGCCGGCCGACTGTATTTTCATATTTACATATAAGTTATTGCGATATTTCACAAAAATGTGTTAATTTATTCTAAGTAACAAACATGACATTCAATAAGTTGCAATTAATATGTGATGTGAACTCTTAAATGGTGTTTTCTAGCCAGCAGAGAGACCACAGGCTTATAAACAAAATACTGGAGACCAGCAGTGTTTGTTGGTGCCATAAAAGGGACAACACATTTGCGGACTGACCTTTCCTTCTAAATGAATTTAAGTTAAATTAACCAGGATCCCACGGCTGGCTGGTTTGTTTGTGCGCGATAGAGGTTAAGCTGTGAACTATCCTCAACCCCCTCAGCAATGATCATTCTGTATAATTATCGTAAGCACAGCTGGTGCGCCATGCACCGCACCACAGGTGAGCTGCGGGGCTGGTGGCTATGCTTTTACACTGCAGGCACCGCGCTAGTGTCAGGAGCTACATTCCAAATAAACATCATTATTATATAGCCTTAGGTCAGAACTTAACATGTGATGGGGATGCTGCTTGAATTAACACCACACGGCAAACGTAATCTCCCATAAATGATTGAGTCTAAACTCATAGCGGTTAGAAATGCTTCTAGGCTTCCGCCTGCAGAGAATGAACGGTACTTATTTAAAGTTGAATCTGTATTTTTAATTTGTTTTAAATATCAGCATTCATAGTATCATTCATTTGTTTAATTGCATGTTTGTGCTTACTGACACACTGATTTCCCAAAATTTAGTTTATTTGGCATAGTAATTCAACTTTTCTATTTGTTCTTTGATTAACCTTTAGTCATTATGCCTTTTATTGGCTTGCCAGGTAGCTAATCAACGCCAACAAATACAACATTAATATCAGTATTATTTAAAGATGGAGTGTTAACTGATTTTGTGTTTATTTCATATTCTATTTTAAATCAATAGGGATTTAGTGCAAATCATAATCACATAATCACAATCTGAAGAAAAAGAAAGTGACAAAACAAAGCAGGGGTGAGAATCTTTCATGAATCCACAGTATGTTAACAGTAAGTTAACAGTATTACTGTTTTGTTTATGAAGCCCAAAGTTTATTACCAATCAGTTCTGATGCTACAATTGGACAGCTACTCTTTATTCCATAGACATGCATGGCATATACAATTCATCCCTAACATGAGCTGAGACTCGTCATTACAATCACGATAGGAGTTTCCCATGGATGACCTACTATCCGTTTGTGGGTATTGAATGTTTTGGGAAATGAAAGTTTTTACCCTGAAGAGAACTAATAGCCCATCAGTCAGCCATCATCATTAGTATTGAGTGAAGAGTAATGACTTCACTGTAAGTATCGAGTGAAAAATCAACTAACCTTTGTCTCTAGGGCAACTGTGTTACATCTACAGTGTCCTACCCACTAATGCACCTAACACAAATGTTATGCTTTTATGATGGCCTGTATTTGCAGTAGGCCGATATTAGAAACACACCTCTCAGTATGCTATAATCCATTTTAATATCCCCACTAACGGCAGACTCAAAAATGACAATACAGCTGAATTATCAAGTCAACAAAACTGATTATAATTAACTTCAAAGAATCACAATAGGGTTTCTTGCTACAGTAAAACAATACACAAAAAGGTTCATCCTATTATTTATTTCAGAAAATTCTTACATTTAGCACTTTTACCCAAATTACTGCATCCCTACTGTACTGGCCCACTCAGAATCAAGATAAAGGGACCATAGCAACCAGGGGCGGTTCTAGGAGTGGCCAACAGGGGCCAGTGCCCCCGTAACACTGACCAGGGACCCTGTGGCCCCCCTCCAAAAAAAAGGTTACAATATTACAATTTATTGGAACTAAATAAAATCAGAGACCCGGATGTACAGCGGAGATCTAACTGTTCATTACCTAATAAAAGTAAATACCGTTTATGTTTTTTAATTACATTGTCACTTAAAGTTACTAAAACAAATACTCTTAAATGAAAAAAACTACTGAAACAAAGGACTGTAACTTAAATTTACTGAAACAAATACCTTTACAAAAACAAATACCAGTTAATGTATTTTATGTTTATTTTAAACAATTACTTTATACTGTCTTTGTCTTTTTAACCCGCTTTTATTGTGCCCCTCTCATGAAATAACTGGCTCCAGCCTGGCCCCCCCCCCCAGTAAAATTGGTCTAGAACCGCCACTGATAGCAACCACATGTGTATAGCAATGCAAGTGATGGGCCTTACCTCCTGTTGCCAGAAGTAACAGGGACTCTCCAGCCTTTGATCTGGCTGAGCTCGGGGTCGGCCACATCGATTAGCAAAGGCAGGCGGGGAATCCATACACTCAGCTCCAGCTGAGCACTCAGGAAACCGTAGGTGAAGTCCAGCACTACCCTCCTCTTCCCTCGTGTTTCATTTCCATTTACATAAACGTAATCACATCGCTCTGACACCTGTAAAATGGAGAGAAGAAAAGAAAAAAGGTGAATATATGGCTCGGCTGTATCTGGCCGGAACATTTAAAAAGTTCAGAATTACTTTAGAATCGCTGGACTAGAGGTAGGACTGTGCTGTGATTTGGATTAAACTTTTCTTGATAGCACCAGCAAGGTTTTTTCTATGTATGTCCCCATGGAAAATAAATAAGAAAGTTTGAACAACTGACAGAGAGGAGAGGCACCAATACAAATAAGCTGAAACCACACAACCACAAAACATTTTATCAATTTCGAAAGACTTCCAAAGTCTGGCCGGGGAACCACACAATGTTTCTGTTTATGTCATGTAAACTTACAACCTTGGTCTCCATGAAACCTTAACAGAATATAAATTAGGTCAACCTTACGACTGTTCCTGTAGTGCAGTACGGTAGGAGGGAGCATTGCATTTCCCCACCAGTGAGGGCAATGAGGTGAAACACAGCAGTTGGTGTGTTTTATTTAAGATTGGAGGCCTATCTCCACTGCAGACTCACTTATCTTAGCAAACCAGTGGCTCCACAGCGGTAATTGGAGGGAACTAGATGGAGAGTAGAGCATAGCACTGGAGAGGGGGTGGTATAAAGGGGGAGGCGTAAAAAGTGAGGAAAAAACGGAGGGAGGAATGACGTCCGGAGGGAGGAATGACGTCCAAGGTAAGTCAACTGTGAAGACATTTTCCCATCATGCCACAGGTCCAAAACAAACTCTCTGATGTGTGTTAGAGTTCTACAAGACAACTACATGTACTGTAGGTGGGCTAATGGACAAAAAATAAACTATATAAGCACCTACATCATGTGTTTGTTGGATTTTAGCTAAATAATGACGCATGTTGATAGACATCAACACAATCAAAAACTTTAAAGGCGATTCTATAACTTGAAATTTGAATTCTTATTTTCAAATAATCAGCCTCCTTTCCACATGATCTGTTGTAGGCCTAAAAAAGAATGCATCTTAAAATACCAGAACTTACACATTTTGCAAATCATCCTGCCCAGTTTCAACATTTCAGAATGTTTTACTTTCCAAGCGATAGTTTTCTATTCATTTCTCTTCATTATAGAAATCCATGAGCAGACTTCTGAAACTTTAATCATGCACCCATTATAGTAAACATCACGTCGGTGTCCCTTTTTGTCAAAGTTAAAAAAATATATATATGAGAGCAGAAGCACAGTGAATACTTTTTAACTCAATATGCATTTATAATTTCCATGACAATGCATCTATCTTTTATTTTATTTGAAGAAGTAATCTCCTTGAGATCAAGATATCTTTTTGAAGCAAGACCTATGCTCAATGCATTATACTGTATAAGCACGGACAAAACATAGACATTTTCACAAATATACATACATATTGTGAAAGCATAAAATAAGTTAATCTATTACGAGTAGTATTCAAGAGCCCAAGTATAATAGGTTCAAAGTCAATATAGTTTTAAGTATTGATCATTTGCAGTTAAAGGTGAACCATTTATTAATCAAATATGGGTCAATTGACAATGAGTATAGTTCAAGTAAGAGACCCAACTCTGCCATCCCTTTATCAATGAAACTTTGATTTGATTTCTTTTGGCAGGTGTTTCCAGGAAGAAAACTAATAAAGTAGCTAACTCACATAATTACTAGCTAGCCTGTGGACATGGTGAAGCATTTAGCTTCCAAAGAGACAGATTCGGAGATGGTGGAGACCAAATCAGAGCTAAAAGTAGGTTGGATTTTAAACGTATTATAACAAGAGTTGCCTGTTTGCAGTTTCAACAGATGGCTACCTGTTAAATGTATGTTCAACTGTCATCAAAGGCCAAGAATTATCAAACTGGAAACCACAAAACATTTCACAAACTTGTTCATGAAACAGAAAGACGACCGATCTTATGTTGGCTAAATCAAACAGTTTGTGTGCTGTGTGTGAATACAGTCACCCTTGTGGAAGTTATATAGATGATAAGGTTTTTGTTTTCAAGCTTTCCCTTCACCTGGCAGTACTTTAAAAAGGGGTCAGAGACAGCAGGAAGCAAAAGAGACCATTCAGAGACACAATAATAACTGGATTAAGTTCTCCTCTACTGATACAGAAAATCATTACAAACACAGGCTCCCTCTTTTTGGCTCTTTCCCACTCTCCTAAGCTTTCACACTTACTGTAAGCACATCGACTCAAACTTACAAAGCCAGTGGCTTCCGTGTCGGCTAATGAAAAATCACATAACTCCTTTTTGTTCCTTTTCTGGTATTCTGTTCTGTATCTCTCACCCATTCTCTCTTTCTGCTCCAACTGTTCCAGTAACATGGATCCATTACACAAAGGTCAAACCACTGTGCTTATGAACTGAGTGCTGGGATCATGCAGCTCATTCTGTAATACCATATGGAAGAACTGCTTTTATCCACCATGTGTTGACACACACTCACACACACAGGCTGGAGCTGGCGAGTTGAGTATGATGGCAAAGTGACAGGGGATGTTTTGGAGTTAGAGACCTGTATAAATAATGTTTTGTATGCGCATTAGGGCCTGGATTATATATACAAATTACACTGGAATTTAATATGAGGGTAAAGAAGGCTGCAAACGTTTTTGTATCTTGAAATAGGTGATTTTAGGTTTGTTAGAGTCATTAATGCACACTGTTGAGTGTGCTTACATACAAGTCAGCATTATAACTACATCCTAGATTTTCATGAAACTTGGTGAAAGGTTTACTAATGGGAAAAACCCAATATATTTTGGAGTGGACTCACATCACAGGGCGGATAAATGAACAAAGTTTCATTTTTGTTAACACTGACAGCTTGCGCATTTGCAGCCAGTGGTGTTAGAATACAGGAAAATGAATTATTACATATAGCGCGGACAAAAAAGGAAGACATTTACAAGCAACGGATTCTTGCTTGTAAATGTCCAATCCAAGTCAAATAAACTTGTTGTTGTAATGACTTACCTTGAGCACATCCTCCTCTGTAGACCTACATCTGGTGTAGTTTGTCACATCAGTGACGGAGCCATCAGCCTCAACTGCCAGAGTTTTCACAGGTACAGACACCGTTACACCCATCAGCTTAGCAGTATTCAATATATCAGTTTTCTGTGTAGAAAGGAGGACATTAATAGAGTAAAGAAAAATGTGTATTTTTTTTTATAGCAATTGCAAAGGTCAAATAGTAATACACTTCTTCCTCTTTGTCTTCTTCACACCAGCAGCTAATGCAATAGTATAGAGGAGTCTTGGATCTTAATTTAATGCTAGCTCCCTTTAAAGCTGAAGAATATTGATCTAAATACTTTTTCACTAACGATCATCACTATTTGTATGGGGGCAGGGATAATAGGCAGAGGGTGTTAGCAAGACTAACAGAGATTAAAACACTTGCAGGCTCACAAACTCGATTCATTTAAATCACAATGATGCAACGCGTACACACAAACTACACAGATGTGCTCAAAATAAATCTCTCTGTGATGATATTATACAACAGAATACATGTTGTTCTGTCTCTCTCAAACTCACACACCTGGATTACAACAAATCACCTATTAAACGTTGATTTCCCCACCCTGTTGTGCACATCTGCGTCAATGCTTAGCAACTGCTTAGCTTTTCATACATCAAGACTGGTACTTTACAGTTTACAAGATCTCTGATAAGGTCTTTTTAACCTATTATAGGTGATGGCAGTGTGTGTGTAAGGAGCTCTGGGTGATCAGTAGGGTTTTTTTCCCCCTCCTGATGTTTGTGGATCAGAAAACCCTCGGCAGATGTTCCCCGGCAGCTTCACATTCTGAACTCCGTCGGCCTGACAGCTGCTGACCGCAATTCAAAAGGGACATGCTCCAGTTCAGACCGAAACACTGACCCATACATAACGCCACTGGATCAAGGTTAGCGCAAACCCGGAAAGCAATATCATCGCTCTGTGGTTCTGGCAGCGCCACACCGAGAGAGCTCCATTTCCGATGTTTCCACAGTAATCTGTCTGGCAGTGATCTGGTTCAGTTCAAGTGGTTCAGCTCTGTTTTAAATCTGCCTCTTCTGGGAATACAGTCTTATATTTACACTTCCTTCATTTACATGTTCATTCAGTCAGTGTAAGTGCTAAATCCTTTAGAGGGCTACATGTCAATGAGATGGACATAAGAAGAACATGCAGAAAGAAAATCTAACACCCAACCTTCTTTGCTGTGACGCAACATCCCACATGCCTTCCCTTCACTGTTAACAGTTTTGTATTAAACGTGCATTTTCTGTTGTAGTGCAGTTTTTATTTTAATAACCACCATGTTTGGCTATTAACAAAATAATTAATTGAATAATAATTCAATATAGTTGATGTCTTATTCATGCTATTGCAGCATGAAATAGCTTTCCGAGTCTCCTTTTTCGAAGACAGTAATGAACCTATTATACATTGTCATTTCTTACAGTTTGTTTTAAAAAGGTAAACGTCGCATAGCAGCATGAAATCAGTCTAGGCATCACAAATAATATTAATGCATTGCAAGAAACTGCTGGTTCAGAAAATAAAATGTCCCTTTCCATACAGGTGATCCGAAGCATATCAAAATCTGCAGTCCAGACACACACAGACAACCCAACTCTTGACCTCCATGCCAGATTTCAGCATCCTTGAGAAGTCTACTCATATTGTCTGTAATTAAATTATATCATCAGGATGTTTACTGCATGAAACTGTGTTTTATTAAGGCAATTATTATCAATTTCCTTAAAAGTGAGGTGTTGGGAATCACTCTCATGCTTTGCCGTAATGTTCGACCTTTGGCAAAGCCAAGTAACTAGGTGTGGGGCATGACTAAAAACACATTTTAAACAGTAGATAAATGGATACAGATATTGTCCTCACCATGACCAGAGGTGCCAGCCCCACATAGTCTCTCTGAGTTGTGTAGATGCGCATTATGCCCACATCCTTGAGGTTTCCTGGCATCTCCAGACGCCAGGAGATCGTCTGACTCTCTGCCTGCTCTGAAACATCCTTTGGCACAAAGTCCAGTTGGAAGACTTCCAGAAGACCCCTGTTTAGAGACAAAATTTGAAAAACACATAGCGGTTTGACAAGTAAATGCAAGCCTCTGTAAACTCCGCTGAACAGCGACCATCACAGCTGCATGTGGCTCATTATGGCAAATTGACAATGCAAAAACGTCATGCAACTGTATCTGTCAGTAAGAATAAAGTCATTTAGTCAGTGGAATTAGTCATTAATATCAGTCATAAAATCTAAAGATTGCTTACTTAAATTAGCAATTGCCGCCATAAGTTACTGGTCATAGCCGACTAGAAGCAAGGCTGTAACAACAACACCTGTTGACTGATTAAAAAAACGATATTATAATTTGGGTTGGAAAACTGAAACACTTTTCCTTGTATTCCTCATAAAGGTTGTGTCTAGAGCCTAATATTCTGTGCCTGTATTGTAAACATAGACCTTGCTGTTCACTGTCTTTTAAATGTACTATAAATTCAGTCGTAGTGTATTATATAAAGATGAATAATCCAAGTGTAACTAAATTGGATTTCAAGAGTTTTTACAGGGTTTAATTGAGAGATAAAAATAGGAAATAACACTTAGCCTGTGCTCACATAGTTTGATCACAATCTCAACTAAATAAGTTCCAATGGTGTTCAATTGGAACGTTATGTTTGTAAGTAGCTAAAGTTTAATTAGTGTCAGGATTATTTTGTTCAGTCTACTGTTAAGTTACTAGAAGTGATGCAGGTAAATAACCAAAGCAAGCAGGAGTCATTTCACTCTGATATTTTCTTATCAAACCTCTGGAAGCTGGGATATATATTGGGTTTTTTTTGGTGTCAAGAGACAAATATGCTTCGGTGCAAAAAGGAGATGAGATGAGCTGTGTGCTCTCTTGTTCCATGAGGGAGGAAAAGTAAATATCTGTATAAAGAAGCTGCCAATGAAAACGAAAAAGATAGAAAATTACTTTGAAATTTGTGAAAAATAAACTCCGGAGTTTAAACTCAAAATGTGTAATACACAGGAGGACTCATTTATATCAGCTTAAGGAAGAATAAGGTGAGACTGTGGAAGGAAGATTAACTGAGCTGGCAGAGACTTGAGCCAAGTATTCTGGTCAAAGGCTTGTCAAAGAAATGACGTGATGTTATTTGATGCTGCAAAGAGTGTGTAGGCATACCTGCCAGTAGGAACAGATCAAAGGGAAAATGGAGCCCAACATAAATGGGGCTGTGGCACTTTGAAGTGAGGCAACACTTTGCATAAAGCGAAACAATCAACGTCTAGCTCATAAACTTGCATTATAAAAATACATATAATTATGTGCAGTGACAAGGTCATAACTACATGTACACAGAGATGGGGTCGTTACTAAAAAAAAGTAATATATTATATATTACATATTACTTTTTTTAAAAGTAATATATTACACTACTTCGTTACTGTCTACATAAAGTAACTCGTTACTTTACTCGTTACATTACTCGCAGAGCCGGCCCGCCCCTCCCTGTAGTGTGATTACTGAATTTGTACACTACTCCGTTACCGACAAAA